CCAAAAGATACTGACTGTGACACTCTTTAAAGGAATTGTACCATTTGCTCAACAATGAAAACTAACAATGACTCGGTGTAAAAATTCCAACACTATAAAAATCTTATTAAATAACTCTGAATTGCCCTATAAAAACATTTTTACCTATTTATTCTTAATACTATAGGGTTGTTACAGTCTAATTAATAAAGCGGATTGCTACAATATGAATGGATATGAAAATCAGTGATTTGAATTCGAACCTGTGAACATGTGCTTATTCTACATGAAATGACAAAACAAGACAGGAAAAATTTACAAAAGTGCGACTCACTGAAATCTTAAATTAACAAATAAATAACACAAATTACTTACAGTTTGGACGTCCACAAATATGACACAAATAAAGGGGAAGGGATTGGGAAATGTAACTAGCCGGTATTCTACAAGACGCGATCAATTGAACTCGTGAAACGAACGTGTAATTTTCAAATGGCGGAACTGCGTTGGCCGGTAACGAACTTTTTCACTTTCTACAATGACACTGATACTAATTTCCAATCGCGGGGCAATTATATCCCTTAGGGATATAGGCTGTACGATTTTAAGGAAAATAAGATTGCCCGACCAAACGCCGCGAAATGAATTTAATTTCCACGAACGAAAAACAATTTTACCGAACTAGCTACGATGAGATTTGGATAGGAACTGGGACTGCTGGAAGCAAGTGACCATCCGGCTAGACCTTATCCCCTCTCCTACTTTAGTGCGTGGTGCATTCTGGTCTATACTGATCTATTGTTTAAACCAGCTGACTGTTCTTCGCGTTACCCTGTATTGATTTGTTGCCTTTTTACAACAAAATCGGTACACAGGTCATGTACTGTAGGACTAACAGCCTACTAAGTATATTGAAATGAAGGTTTGTGGTTGTGAAATATAGAGAAATGCATGTTGCATGTTTGATATCTTGCTAACCAACGTTTATGCTTGATTAAATGTTAGTAATGGAGGCTACTCCTAATTGTGTTAAATTGTCCAACGACAATTGGAACATTTGGAAGTTTCAAACCACAGTAACCTTGAAAGCAAAAGGCTTGTACAATGTAGTAGTAAATGATGAGAAAATGCCTGAAGAAGGTGATGATAAGTATGATAAACTCCTTGCTGAGTATAATAGTAAAGATTGTAGAGCCCAAGACATAATAGTTTCTAGACTTGGTGAAAATGCCATATCCCATGTGTTAATGTGTAAAAACTCTTCTGAAATCTGGTCTAAACTTTTAACAGTATATGAAAGGAAAAGTGAGTTGAGTCTGCACCTTCTTCAACAGAAGTTTTTTAGTTTAAAATTTAATAGTAATGAAACTGTATCTCAGTACTTATCGAGAGTTGAAGAGATTGTCAATCAGATTAAACAGTTAGGTGAAGTTATTTCAGAAAATATGGTAATAACGAAAGTAATTATGTCCCTTCCTACGAATTATGCACATTTTGTAAGCGCTTGGGAATCAAAGGAGCAAAAGTGGTAAAAGTGATTCATCTAGAAAATCTGAAGCTTTTACAGTATTAGGCTTAAGTTCAACAGATTTTACTGATTTAGATTACAACACTTTTGAAGATTGGTTTCTTGATACAGGAGCATCAGAACATCTATGTTGTAATATAAGGAATTGTTTGAAACTTTTAAATTACTCAAAGAAGACCGTTTTGTAATTTTTGGTGATGGAAAAATGTCCAAAGCTGAAGGTATTGGTGATATTAAGTTGAAGTCAGTAATAAAGTAATGAAGATAAAATTTCTGTAACTCTAAAAGATGTGTTATATGTACCGGAAATGAAAGGATACTTTGGATTGATTCTAACGAGTTCGCAATCCAGCATGATCAGACCATTGGAACGGGGTTTTTAGGGGGATTTATGGGGTCAAAATTGGGTTTTGTCATGTTTAACCCTCTATAACATTTTCTAATTTCTCCCTAAACCATTTTTAGTACCATGATGAATTTAAATACCTTAAAAACAAAATAATTTTGTTTGTTGAAGTGTTTTTGTACGAATATTGGTTACCTACCGAAAAAATTCAAAAATTGTAAATTTATCATTCACATTTTATTCTTATGGAGAATAAGTAAACTGTAGTAGTTTACTCGTTTATGGATAAGTTTTGATAAAACTTGGCAAATTTATTTATTTTGACCTAAGCTATTAATGTTTTAATAAAAAAAAACACTGTTAATTATCCTCTCCGTAGCAGCAAACCTAGGTACTAATTAAACTTAATGTTATTGAAATAGATTTAATTGAAAATCAAATCATAGCGACCCAGCATCCTCTTCCGAGCGCCATATTGATGACGTCATTACGGGCGACCAAGGTCCTTAAAAATTGGGGTCTGGGCTGTTTTACATACTTGGTCTTATAATTAATTTGTCATATTCAGTTTTCCATTAATAAATTAGTCTTTTTCTGATAATTTGTCGGTTTTATTGCTTTTATTATGTTCTTTATCAATTCTGCATCCTAAGAAACATAGAAAACGACACCCCACTTGCTTGAATCCCATAAATAAAAATTTTCTCAAAATCACTACCCCCATAAACTTAAAACCCCATAAAATAGTACTTCCACCCCCACAATCACTAGGGACTCTTCAGATTCCAATACCTAATGGTAATTACTACGTTTCCTGCAAGTTTCATAAATGGACTAATTTTTATGTTTTCTTAGGTGAGTTTTGCCTGTACCCTACTATTGATACAAAACTGTCTTGGAGCCCTCATATAACCTTGGTTTGGAGTATGCAGTAAACTTTCCAGAGTTATCTTCCTTTTGAGTAGTCTAAAAAGCAGGGGCGGACTGGGTACTCTATAAGGGCGTAAACCTTGACCAGCCCGAAGGCGCCAACCGGGGGGTCTGGGGGGTATGGAATACCCCCCTGTATAGAGGGGGGCCGGGGGTCCTCCCCCGGGGAATTTTTTAAAAATTATACCTGTAAACTCGCATTTTTAGGCAATCTAGAGGCATTAACAGTGGAAATCAGAAATCTGATCACTGACACTATTGGTCAATGTTTGGTTTAAAAAATTTAGACTATTTACCCACACGACTTGGCGCTATTCTGACAGTAAATGTCCTTACAAAAATAAAAATACAAACGATTTTCTTAGGTTCTTTCGTATTATATTTGTGCATTTTCACTATTTTCCCTTGCATGACTTGGCTGCATGCATACAATATAAATCATATGCTTCCTGTTTACAACCTGAACCTGCAACTGCTGTATTTTTTGGCACTGTAAATAACAGAAGTTATATATTTCAGATTTCTATGAAATTATTTTAACACAAACAATATGCTTTCACTGTGAAAAAAAACCAATTTATTGACTTAAACTGTTTTAGCATTACATTAAGTCAAAACTGTAACCCTAAAGTAGGCCTACCTATAAGCTATTTCTACAAACGAAATGGAAGCCATAGCCTAGAGAGAACTACGAAGGTACAACTGTACAGGTTGTATTTTGGGCTGGCTATGTGTAAGTAAAATAGGAAAGTTGACCAAATTAGTGCATATTGAAATCATTAATTAATTGGCGGTAGCGACATATTAAAATACTGTTTACTGTTTAACCTTTACTGTGTAATGGTTAAAAATTTTCTCAAAATCACTACCCCCATAAACTTAAAACCCCATAAAATGGTACTTCCACCCCCACAATCACTAGGGACTCTTCAGATTCCAATACCTAATGGTAATTACTACGTTTCCTGCAAGTTTCATAAATGGACTAATTTTTATGTTTTCTTAGGTGAGTTAACACAAACACCTTGGTTTATGTTGATAAACCAACACTGTACTGTTTGTTCTGTTAAGTTAACAAATACACTGTCACTATAAATCTAATTTTAATTTTGTAAAAGTAGTGATTCTACTACATTCGTTCATGTTTCCTGTGTAGGTAAAGAATATAAAAATAAATTGAAGCTTTCGACACAGAGACACAAATTAGACACTCACTAAAGAGGGACACATTTTAATTGGCAGCTCACACTCTTTATTTATTTATTACATGCACGGCAAACGCCATTTTACAAGAGAGTTGAGTTGACATTGATAAAAATTAAATGTGACTTAAAGCACAGAAAACATACTAGTAGTATGTTTTCTGTGCTTAAAGTGAAATAGTTAGTGTGAGCAATAATTAAATATTATAACAAATATGAAATAATGTTAAATAATATTATCCGATGTCGGATGCAGTCGCAGTGCAGGTTTTTTCGGGTTCGGCGTAAAATGACGCGGGAAGAGGACAGCTGTTTTTAAGTAGCTCAGACCACAGCACAGATTAAAGTTCCACTCGGAGTAGGCCTACACGTACGAGAGAGAAGAGCTGCTTTGCTCTCGCTTGTCGACAGTGTCTATTCAGGTCTCACACCCGACTTTATGTTTTCCTATTCACTGCTGAAACTTTTACTCAAAGTTTTTACTCTTGCTTTCTAAAAATACGTCTCGTCTCATTTTTTAAAAAAAAATTATGAATTTTTCCTTTAACGAGGGCGCAAATATTGGAATTTTGAGAAGGCGTATCGGCCCACCGCGGCGGGCCAGTCCGCCCCTGCTCAAAGTTGTCTAAATAAAAACTGTTTTAAAAAAGCCTATGTAGCTTTTTTTCAAGGAGTTCTTTTGTATGGGCTCAGACTCTGGGGTGGGTCTGCTGAAATTAATGATGTACTGCTAATAAAAAAAGAGCTGTAAGAATCCTAGCAAACGCTGAGTATGATGCCTCTTTCAGACATCTCTTTGTAAATGAGGAAATCATGACTGTTTGTAGTTTGTATGTTTTTGTTTCAGTTGTGCATGTAAAAAATGATCTCCAGTCACTTATTTGTAGGGGTTATTATCATATGTAAAATAGCAGAAATAAGAAAAATATTGATGAACCTTATGTTATGTTAAGTAAAACAAAAAGAAATTCCAGTCAGTTTAGCATAAGGCTTCTTAACCACATTTCTTGTACAGCTTGGAACCAAACCAACAGAAAATTCAAAAACAATCTCCGGGCACTTTTATATTGGCTTTCCCACTTTATAAGACCAGCGATTTCTTTGACATTCCCAAGGATACTGTGAGGGAGTTTTTCCTATGTACGTAAGTAACAGATTGTTTTGTTTTGACAGTAGTTTTGTGCATGGTTTGTTTTTGGTTTTGTTTGCTGTGTGATTTTTGCATTTTAGTTTTTATTTTTATAAAAATTGTATATTTTTACCGTATTTGTTCTGACGATACCTATTGCATTTCATGTTTAATTGAAAATAAAGCATTTCATTTCATTTAATTTTAATCGATTCCACATGAGATACATAATTTTCATCCAACTCCAAAGTTTCATCCTCGGGTAGTGGTAAGCGTGACAACGCATCTTTTGCGAGATCTAGTACCAGTACCTACAATAGGGGATATTGTATATATTTCATGTTAATTTAGTTTTAGTGCCAAAACGTGTGACAAACTGGACTGTAGACATCCTACCATTAGGGTAATTAGGATTACGAGTACTGACAATCAATTTAGCCAACCCAACCTAAAGATAAAATAGTAACAGTAGTAAATAATAAAGGCAATCACAAGTGTATTGTCATAATGTTGTACCTACCATTATGTGCCAATGACCTAGCTGTCCTGTTAATTCCAATTGTGAACTAAGGGAAATTGACAGACATTCAATTTATCTTAAGCTGTAATAATCTAGTAAAGTTCTATCAAAATAAAATCCATTTAACTTTTATATTAAAGTGTCTAGAGGTCTCATTACAGACCAACCAATCCAGAGTTAATATATAAATGATCATCAGCTAACATGATTGAAACAGTGTAGTGTAGGCCAATATGAAAGTTAATAACAATTGATTGTAATTTCATGTCCGCCTTTTTAAATTTGTCTTTGCAACTTGTTGCTGGAGATGTATTTACATAGTATGTGTTTGTTGATAACACAAATGGATTAACTTAAAACAATTAAGAGGATTTATCTAATGATAACTTGGTTTTCTGTACCAAAGTGTTTTTTACATAGGTTAGTGAATGTCAATTACAATGATTGTACACAAATAAATTTAATACAATTGATCATACAAATAGAAAATATATAATTAACAAAATATATACAAGTATTATCTTTTAATAATCTAAACGCATACATACATATTATACAAATAGAAATATATATAAATGCAACAACAGATCGTGGGAAGAATCTACCATCTAGTGTTCAGGGAGTTCCAAAGTGTTTTTTTCCCATAGGTTAGTGAATGTCAATTACAAGGATTGAACATTGAACACAAATAAATTCAATACAATTTATCATACAAATAGAAAATATATAATTAACAAAATATATACAAGTATTATCTTTTAATAATCTAAACGCATACATACATATTATACAAATAGAAATATATATAAATGCAACAACAGCTCGTGGGAAGAATCTACCATCCAGTGTCCAGGGAGTGCCAAAGTGTTTTTCCCATAGGTTAGTGAATGTCAATTACAAGGATTGAACATTGAACACAAATAAATTCAATACAATTTATCATACAAATAGAAAATATATAAATAACAAAATATATACAAGTATTATCTTTTAATAATCTAGATGCATACATACAAAGTAGACTAATAGAAATATATACAAATGTAACAACAGTGGTGGGAAGAATCTACCGTCCAGTGTTAAGGGAGTTCTGTAAAAAAAAACAAAGATTTCAGATTGTAACAGGTATGCCAAGTACAGATGGATAGCCATATTCTTTTTTATTTCTCTACTTTGTATGCCGGCAGCTTTTTTACTTGTGAAGTTCAGAAGAAAGTATTTAAAGTTCAAACCCTGTGTTGCGGATGTGCTGGTGAACAAGTCAATAATAATTTTTAAAATACCACTTTAGAATATTGAAATGGAGATAAAAGTTTTTAGATAGATGAAATATTTTATCTCTATTTTATCAAATATCTCCATAATCATCAAGGTATGAGAAAAAACTGCGATGTTTAAATTGTTTAGTTATAGTTAATAGTCCCCAAGCAATGTCTGTTCAAAATCCTGGAATTCTTTTTCAGAGACCATGTATAATGCAATCATGCTATATTTCGGCCGCTTAGAAAGCGACCTCCTCCAGCATTGGTTTAGCATTAGCGCGCAGGTCGTTTTCTAAGCGGCCGAACTATACTATAGTAATCCTTTATGGATTTCATCCATGGTGGAAGGAAAAATCATAGGTGTGCTATTTCCACATATATGTGGGAATAATATGTGGGAATAGTCGGATTGCAAACAAAAGATCACCTGATCGTAACTGTCAAATTAGTATGTATTTGTTTAGATTTGATTGTTATTGTTTTTATTAAAAATAAATTTACATTGTTATTTATCTTCCAGTATATCTGAAAACACATATCTGTTTGTTGTACTCAATAAATATATGAAATAAACCAAAAGTTATCATATTTTAGGACAACAGTAGGGAAACAAACTTATTTCTATTATTGTTAAATTAACAACACATAATATCAATGTGCTGATTAACAAGTTATTTATTGTATATAGTTGAGTTTGAGCTCTTACTTAGTCATATCTGGCAATAATGTAGCCAATTAATGCCCTGCTGTTTGGGCAGGTCCTAGGCATTCTGAAAGGAAGCTCCAAAATACCCCCTCCTGGAGTTGTGACAGACTCATAGAGTCGCTGGTTAACGAAGGCTGGGAGGCAGTCACAGCAAAGAATATTATGGCCACAGGGGGATGCCGTCCTGTCTGCCTTGTTGACCAGGCAAACATAGCAGGCTGTGTCATTGTCGAGTGCCTCTACACCAGTAACACTGTTTCCCCGGATGCCAATTGCCAAAAGGAGGTCCTGGGCCTGCCTTTCAATGAATTCCATGGGAATTACCTCCCCCGGCCTATGGGTTGTTGGGACACCCTTGTAGTTGTCATAGTAAGGCTGATCTGTAAAAACATGTACTGCTAACTAAAATTTCAGAACATGGTATGCCATTATTATTATTTAACTAGCAGAGTACCCGTCCTTCGTACGGGGTTGGCATGTAAGTATAAAGCTTATTGTAGTTATGGGAGAGGACACGGTTTAGGAAAATTTGGTCTTTTAATTTATACGGTATCCTATAGTGTCTTACAGTATCTACCATAGCCCTAATTTTCTACCACTGCACCTAAACCATGAAAAAAGTTAAGTTCTCATTGTGTACCACAATTTTTTTTGTTAGTTGGTTAAAATTAGCTGTGGTCATAAATGGAAAAATTATAATAGTGTTGCACCCTGTTGGTAAGCCTTATACTTTTTTAATGCTATTTAATATCATACAACCAACTTGTAAAGTTGAAACGGCTGACAAAACTCTTTAATTTCTTTAAATATGAATACTTATAAGGTTTACATGAGAAACTCCAGAGCCAGAGCCACTGGGCCGGAGCCTGAAAGGATTTTTGAGGTAATTTTATAACATATTTTAGTGAAATTATAATCAGGCAAATGGCTCAGTCTGTAGATTAGCTCCGGCAGGGTGGTTATTACTGTTTACACAAAAATAAATAAAAAAATAACCTCATAAAACTCAGGATAAGAGCCTAGATTGATACGGCAATGATTATAGAATCTTAATTATTTCCTATATCCATGAACAATTTTTTTACAACGAATTAGTCCCTGTAAAATATTATTACAACATTTCACAAATATTTAGAACAGGCTCAGTATAATAGGTCATAAACATAAACAAATGAAGTAACTGAAAGAATCATATACTAATGAAATTCAAATTACATTAACATAAGGTTTGACAGCTCCATTTAAATAATATTAACTAATGTTTACATTCAGGCTAAGTGACATCATTATTTTAAATTTATAATCCTTACCCTCTCTGTTCTAATATTCGTGCAGTATTTCATATGTTTGAACCAGCTGTGTGGAATTATGAAATCAAACTTCTTTGACAGTTAGTTCTGCTTGTTTACATTTTTAAACTTTGTAGGTTTGTTCTTTGTTACCATGGATACCATCAATCAATATTTACTTTTAAATCTCTCACCTCAAATTTTTGAATGCCCACGGGGCAGAGCCCTAGGACAGTATCGAAGCGGGAATAGTTCTATATGTATCCTCGGAGCTGTAGCTTCATTTTTGTGCAATTTGAGCCCGGTGGGTTCAGTAGTTTTTGAGATTACCTCATACAAACACACACACACACACAGACACCACCTCTTCTTTATAATAGTATAGACTAGCTGTGTACCCGTTCTACGCACGGGGATCTTATAATATTCAGTTGAAACCTTCTTATATAACGAACAGCAGTTGGTTTGCATATTTTAAGATATGCTGGCCAAACTATTATACATAGCTTCATTTTATGTTGTTTTTTGTTGTTCCGGATCGTATGACAATCAATAAAAGGTTAAATTACCTCTGTGTCTGCCGGTCGATCCTATAACGGTAGGCTTACTTTTATTTTTACTATCTGATCTCGTTTGCATGGCTCAATCACGTCCTGGTTGAAGTTCGTTCGCTACGCTCACTCACCTGTATGTTGGAGCTCGTTCGCTGCGCTCACTTTCCTTCAGGTTAGCTCGTTCGCTACGCTCACTTGCCTTCAGGTTAGCTCGTTCGCTACGCTCACTCGCCTCCAGGTTGCAAATTAGCTGTTGTCATAAATGTAAAAGAAATAATAGTGCTAGTGCTGCACCCTGTTGGTAATCCTTGTAACTTTAATGCTATTGAACATCACAGAACAGAACCAACTTGTTTAATTGAAACAGCTGTTAAGATTCAATAATTTCATTTCTCATAAGGTTAACATGGGCTTCCAGAAATTCCACGTCAAAAATCGACAAAAACTTGATTTTCAAGGGTTTACTGTTAAATATCTAACTGTCTCATATTCGATGAAATACGTCTAAAACCATCTCATATATGTATAGTATTTGGAAAATAAGTTTCAGGCGGGACAGTGCTATAGTTATTGAGGAGTAGTTGTAATAAAGTGCGTATTTTAGCGTTACCAAGAGAATGACAGATAGACAGACAGACAGACAGACAGACAGACAGACAGAAATTGAGATAAGGTTTGATTCGGTTTCTCTGACCTATGAAATGTAAAAATAACCAAAAAGTTCATTATTCTAAGCAATGTACAGACAAAACTCTAATTTTATTTATATAGATAGATAGATAGATTATATCAATTATTTAAGATGGGGACACCACTAGGTGCGTATTATCATAGACAAAAAGAATTAAATATAGACCGTCAGCTGTGCTGCGGTTACCATAGGTTCTGGCGCACACCGCTTGGAGCACCACGGTAGTTACGGCGTACGCGCTACGTAAACTACAGCGGTGTGCGCCGGAACCTATGGTAACCATGGCAACCGCAGCACGGCTGACAGTCTATATTTCATTCTTTTTGTCTATGGTATTATAACCCAAATATGAGTGAAGGATGAGTGGCGCGATCTTTGTAGTCTTGTTAGTGACTAAGACCAACATATACCTTAGACACAACTGTTTAATTAATAGGCTATATAGCTAATGACAGCTAAGGGACCTACAGTTTATAGTCTAATACGAATGACATTTTTGCCTAGTAATTAACAAATTGGTCTAAATTATCAGGATAGCACTGTGGGTAGTTAAAGTACTCACTAGTGCAGATGTTAACCCACACCTGAGAATGGGCAATTTGTTACCTCCTAGTAGCTGGATTACCATACAGGAGGTTGATATTGAAGTATATAGACATCTTTTTCATCATAATGCTTTTAACTGAAGCTGGCTAGTAATTGCCAGCCTAGTAAAAAGAGAGATTTCACATCATCCATTCTATACTCACCGTACATTCGTTTTTGTTGTTAAAATACACCTTTTTCACAATTATCACATGAATAATGTAGCTAATTGGCATCATCATACAATAAAGACTATGACATAAAGACATTTTTTGATCATAAAGATTATATTTTTTATAAATATAATATTGTACAATATGAATGTAAACATTTTTGTGTTTTATTTTAAAGTTTGATCATGCATTAACTAATTGTAAAAACCATAACAGAACTAGAGATATAGATCTCAATAAAATATAAAGTAAAAAAAATTAGGAAACTTCAAATCGTCCATTAAATTTAAATGTGACCGGTACCTTGAGGGAGTACATTCCTTGGTGCAGGCAAGGCTTGGTCCTCATCTTCTTCTCCAGAAGATTGCTATAAAGAAATATTGCTAAAATATAACATTCCGTTGTAATGTATATAACTAGTGGCATGTAGGGACAATACAATACGCTTAGCCGATTTTTGTAAACAGAACTCATCCCACAGCCACATTTTTGGACCGATTTTAATTCTTAAGGTGTAAAAAAAAATGGCCCTGATCTGTAGTTTAGCTAAGTGTTTTTCATTTTTTGAAATCTGTATTAGTTTGGGCAGGTTCTTCCATCAAAGTTGAGTTTTCTCCCATAAGATTAACATTGGGGAATCTAAATATTTAATTGTGAACTTTGTCTCCACTAATTTGAGAGAACGGCTGGGCGTAGAAACTTGGTAGAGGTGTCCAAAGAAAGGTCTTGGTCTGTAGATGAGTTATCAAAAGAAAAATGAAGTAAATTCCCTCAAGGCTCTGCCCCAGAAGCCTTTAAAGATCCCTCCACAGATTTCTTTACATGTTGGCCATGTGGATAGTACTTTTTTAATGAAACAGCTGTGAATTTTTAAATTGTATTTTAAACAACACACATTTATTGGGAGTTACTGAATTATTGTTCAAAAGAAGTATTTGCAATGTTATTTTCTAATTTTAAATCCTTTTATCACAGTAACTCTTACAATTATTTCTTATTGTACATACTCTCACAAAAACATGTCAATCGATTCAGTAGCTTCGGAGGAGTAATTGTAACAAAAAACCTGCTTGCGTATTAAATAAGTATAGATAGATATATAGAATATATATAATTAAATTGAGTATATTATTATTTCTATGCATATGGAGTATTATTGCCGATTAATAATTGTCTTGGTTACTTGTATTGTGTTTACAAGAAAATAACTGATAAGTGAAGCTGATGATTTGTTGAAGCTGCAAAATTTTATCTTACACATTATCAAACACAGACCCGTCCATGTTTGGCCTAAACAAGACAAAGGTTGCATCATTTATTTTTGATAGCTGGCCACACAACTCCAGAAACCTTCTGTGATTTTGGACCAGTTTTTCTACAATTCTCTTTCTCAAATTGAAATATTCTGTTGTATTTCCTTGGATCTGATCGACCTTCGACAGAGGCGAGTCTAGTGACTTTGTCAGAAATGAAATGATTTTGTTCATTTCTCTCGCCCAACGTTGAATGGTTTCCCATTGAACAGTCACTAGGGTGTCGTGAAGCTACATGGTGCCATAAAGAGAGATGCAGAATGGTATCGCCTGGCTTTTCTTTTGATCTTGAGACAATCTCAAAACCCTGTGTTCCTTCTAAATACACACCATCAACTAAAGAAACAAAAACAGTTGTACATTTAGGATTGAATAAAGTAACAAAACTCAACAGAACACAACTTAGTTTTTTCACGCTCAAAACTGTACTCCATTTCTTTGGTTTAATTCAAGCAAAATGTGAAGCAAAAAAATACTTCAACATTTTTTGAAATGAGCAAAAGTTATGATAAAGTGCAAGTTAAGTATTTTCACTTATTTTATTGATTATTAAAGTATTAATTTTGAAAATAAGGGTAAACATTTTGCCATCATCAGGAAACACAAACAAGAGCAAGCATGAAACAACGTCAAAAAAGGCATCAGATTTTAAAATAGGATACAAAGTATACTTGCAGTATCCCAAGTCAATGACTGACAAAAAGAAAAGTAGCAGCTACGTCAATGTAAAGTCCCCCTTTAATTATTGAGGTAATTTAAAATCAAGATTAGAAATTGTATTGTGAAGTAAATGGTGGGTAAACAAGTTATCTCACAGCTTCTAACACTGTACTTAAAAACAAAAATACCGAAAACAAAACACTAATTTTCACCCAAAAGCAGTACACATTACTAGGTAGCTATGAAGATATGGAAGATTCAGTACTGGTAGTTTGTTTCAAGGCCTTCACAAGTTCCTCAACAGCTTTGTCAATATCCGCACAAGTTGTCTCTCTGCCGACACTGAGCCTTATAGTTGAATAAGCCAAATTCTCAGGTACACCAGAAGCTAGTAGTACCGCTGTAAAGTACAAAAAAAGCGGCATATCAAAAATTGTATTCCATTAATCACTCCATTTAATTTTTATTTGTAAAAAACCGCTGTATACATTCTTGAAACGTAACATAACAATATTGAAAACTGAAAAAAGAGTAGAGAGCAAAAAGTATTTAGTAACTAGACCAGGACTATATATATTTCATAAGCCCGTTGATATAAAATATCTAAGCCCAATCAGCTTAAATAAATTCTGGTTAACCCTTTGATTGCTAGGCCAATAATTCATATTTTGTATTTTGTTTGCCTTTTGATTCCATTACCTGTTGTTCATTTGCAACTGTATTGTTTTCATTATTTTATTAATCAGGCTAATTTGGAATAATAAGATAAAACCAAATGTATAACAAAGAAAAGTTTTGGTATTTGCAGAAAACATTAAATAAAACTTTATTTTCGTTGTAAATTTCCAAGTTTTCTTATAATAAATTGTAATTTTCTGATAGCATTACAGTATTTGAAACCAAAATCTCAAAAAATCGAAAGACATCTAATTTACAATGTAATATTGAATTTAACCTTGATTTAGTTTGTAAGGTTATTATGATATAGCCTTTTTAGGAAAATATCCTGTTTGCAGTAAAGCCTCAGCCAAACCATTTATGATCACTGTTGTGGTTCAGTTGAAAATATCATATAAATAGTCCGTGACTAACTAGTGTTGCTGCCGCTACCTAGTAATACATTGAAAAACTAGGTTGAAGCGCCATCGGGTGCGCCATATGTTAGTAATTATTGACGTCAGCTTGAATACCAGTTTTTACTCTATATTCTCCAAGCACAGATAGCCGAGAAGGCTAGGGCGTGTGTCACTTGGCCAGTGGCATTCATTTGCTCGGGTTCAATTCCTGTCCTGTGTGGCAAATAATTGGTGACCTGTGTGTTTGTAGCGATATACTACAACCACTGGGGCATAGTGAGGGGTTCATAATCCTTGGTTTAGACATACACCTCTAATCATCCGAATGGGTAAATCTTTTAGCTAAGTGGTTGTTAGTGTATCCTATGAATATTCAGGTCACCAATGGCCGTTTTGCTACTTTTTGTTAAAATAACCTTCCTCTCTATATCCCTTAGAGATTTTAGTAAACAACCATATATCTTTACATAGCACTGAAAGGGTTAATTGTATATTTTTAGCCATGACTTCCATAAATAAAATGGGAAAAAAACAAAGTAATGTTTATTTGTGACTCACATGAGAGTTGCGTCTGGTCGTGACAAGCTGCAGTAGTGCTGGCGACCAGTGTGGGACACTGAGCTAACAGTTCACTACCACTGAGTGTACACTGGGACCAAGACATACTAGCAGTGTTGGGCAGACGAGGTGATTGGCAGCAGTTCACCACACAGCCTGTCTGCTCCTATATTTAAAGACATGTTAATATTTAACACAAATATGAGGGTAATCTGTAAGGTCACTATCAAACTCCCTCCACAGTCAAGCTAGCTAGTACAAATCTGTGTCCAACGTTGTTTTCCTTTTCTTCATCCACTAGTCCACTACTATTTTAACTAGTTACCACGCCACGCCCATGGAAGGGTTAGTCTTGTTATAGTATTGGAAAACAAGAAGACAATTGACGCTCCCACCAAGTATGAATCACTTTCTTCTGGGGTTTGATAGCTGTAGGAAGTAGGTTGATGCCAGTTGAACGTATGTTTTGGTTTTTAGTGATAAAAATGGCAAAGCCCCACTTTCACCCCACAAAACCCTGTTCCTATGGTCCGATTCTGCTGGTTTGCCAACTTATTTGAATAAATGTGTAGGTTTATGTTTGTACTATTTCATAATTTTTTTTCTGTGTTTGTATATTTTATCTACACTGGATCAGTTTTACTCGAGTAATTACAGTCACACGCACATATATATGTGAATTTGATCAGTTGATATTTTTACCTCTGGGGATATCAAAACAAAACAAAAACAAAAGTCGGTCCCGCAATAGATTTTTTCACAAGACCTATGGTAATAGCCTATCACCTACATAGGAAATTTCCAAAAATTAAATTTAATATTACTGATCAAAGTTTAAATATTGTAACTCATTTTTCCTGTCCATGACCTTAACACTGTGTTATTTCTTTCCAAAATTATTTCCATATTGTCATCATCAAAGCCGTCATGGTCTCAGTCCCTGAAGGTAATTGGTTTTACTGTACGAGTGTGTTTAATCCTGTGAGGGGAGTGAATAGCTACTGAGCTATAAGTTACAAAACAACAAAGTAAAATGACTTACCTGAAGTTGTTTTACAAGGTAATCTCTGGTGTTTCTCATAGTGTCAGTGTATGTCTGAAGGTTATCCGCCACCAGGGCAGCAGCCTGGCCCAGCCCAGCTATCATAGGGGTATTCTCAGTACCAGGTCTCAGCCCAACCTCTTGTCCTCCTCCCCATACCACAGGGGTGACAGGGGCACCCAGATTGCGGTGGACGTAAAGAGCACCAATACGTGGACCATAGAACTGTCAACCATTGTGTTAAACGTTAAACCCGAATCTCAAATCTCAAAATAACTTAATTTTGCAAAAGTTTGGGTTTTTATGATTCGATTCATGAGTTTTGAGGTTTGCGGTTCAATTCATTCAGTGTTTTTGTGAGTAAAAATAACATTAGTACCGTATGTTATTCAAATTTTCGGTATCAGATTCAGGAGTTTAATTTATTTCAATATTATGTTGTATATAAACAATTGTGTTTTTATAGATTTAAAATGTATAAGTAATTCATGTCATAGGACTTTAATTTCTTTCAGTTTGTATTGCATTTAATGAACCTTTAATTATTACCTATTTTTGACATTAACCAGGTGAATAACAATGTTGATATTTAAAATTTATTTTGTTTAAATTTGTTTTCATTGATAAAGATATGTTTTGGTTTTCAGAAAAACAATTTTAATTCAGAGAAAATTTGCAGCAAAATTTTAGTTAAGACATAAGATTTTATTGGTCTTTTATTTTAACATTTGTACATTTATTGACAACAGTTCAAATTTAGAGTTTACATTAAGTATTAGCATAGATAAAACATACTCCCTTAGTAGATTTCTCATCCTTATGGAACAGCTGAAGACAATTTTATTGTTAGTTCATGTACGGTTTATGTAGAGGTCGTGTTTTGTTTACAATTTGTTTCCTGTTATTACAGCCATTTAAAACCTCGTTTAACCAAATAATACGATCTAATCATAAACAATAACTTGTCCCCTAGTTATATAACCAAACAGTAAAGCACAAATCAAGAAATTAACCCTAAAATAATGGAAACAAAGTTTAATCGACACTAGCGCCTTTGTGTCACGTACATGAACTAGAGACGAAAAACGTGCTTCAAAATTTACAATGGGATGAGAAGTCTACTTGTGTTGGTTAGTCTATGGTATTAGTCCTTGTTGAATATTTCAGTCTTTCATAGTTAACACGTTGACTGCGCAAACAATCTGAAATACATTGGATCACTGAAAGCTTAGTCATTAATGAGAATAGTTGTTATTGTGAGCGCCACCTGATGTTTACACCTTTATATTTTAGCGAATTTCCCCTATAGGGAATAAGCTATTACCGTAGTACTCATGGTAAGACCTGGACCCGGGACCGATTTACTTTTTCGTTTTGAGGTACCTAGAGAACAAATTTAAACACCATCCGTTGAAATTCATATATATATATATATTTATATATGTGTCCGTTAGCGCGATAACACGAGCAAAAATCATCCGATTTTGATTCAATTTGGTACATACGTGTAAACCTACAATTATTCAAACGAGTTCGCAAACCAGCATGATCGGACTATGGGAACAGGGGTTTATAGGGGTTTTATGGGGTAAAAATTGGTTTTTCCCATTTTTGACCCTAAAAACTTAAAATTTTGCAATTTCTTTCCAAACCATTTTGTAGAGCTTAAAAAAACAAATAATTTAGTATATTGAAGCGTTATTATGCGCCTAATGGTTACAGAGAAAATTCCAAAAAACTGTAAATTTAAAATTCACATGTCATTCTTATGGAGAATAAGTAAACTGTTGTAGTTTGCTTGTTTATGAATATATTTTGATCGAATTTGGAAAATGCATTCATTTCATACTAAACAATTACATTTTACAAAAAAAATACCTTTTTACCCTCCCTGTTGCAGCAAACCTAAGTACTCGTTAAACTAATGTTATTTAAATAGGGAATAAATGTGATATTTTTAAGGAGACATTTTAGTGTAAATCCAGTCAAGCAAATGGAAATTCGCTTGGTCTGCAGGTTTGCTGCGGCGGGGGTATTTCACTTTTGCACCAGCTTATGAGTTTGAATAGGGTTAGTTTAAAAGATAAACAAAAAAGCGCTTGTCCATAGGTGATCACATGCCGTTATTACTCAGCATTCAAAGTGTTAAGCAACTTTGATTTAAATAAATATAACAAACTGAATAGTAAATACCCCCGCCGCAGCAAACCTGCAGACTAAGCGAATTTCCATTTGATTTACACTGAAATGTCTACTTAAAAATATAACATTTATTCCCGATTTAAATAGAATTAGTTTAACAAGTACTTAGGTTTGCTGCATCAGGGAGGTAAAACTGTTTTTTTTTTTTATGTTAATAGTTAGTAAGAAATAAAAACATTTTTCAAATTTGATCAAAATATGTTCATAAACAAGCAAACTACAACAGTTTACTTATTCTCCATAAGAATAACATGGGAATTTTAAATTTACAATTTTTTGGAATTTTCTCCGTAACCATTAGGCGCATAATAACGCTTCAATATACTAAATTATTTGTTTTTTTAAGCTCTACAAAATGGTTTGGAAAGAAATTGCTAAATTATATGTTTTTTGGGTCAAAAATGCGAAAAACCTATTTTTACCCCATAAAACCCCCCGTAAACCCCCGTTCCCATGGTCCGATCATGCTGGATCGCGAACTCGTTCGAATAAACGTAGGTTTACACGTTTGTACCGAATTTCATCAAAATCGGATCATTTTTGCTCGAGTTATAGTGCTAACGGACACATATATATATATATATATAAATATATAAATATATAAATATATATATATATATGAATTTGAACGGATGGTGTTTTTGGTCTCTAGGGACCTCGAAACAAACAAAAAAATCGGTCCCGCGTCCAGGTCTTACCATGAGTACTACGGTAATAGCTTATTCCCTATATGGGAAATTCGCTAAATATTCCCTATATGGGAAATTCGCTAAATATTCCCTATATGGGAAATTCGCTAAATATTCCCTATATGGGAAATTCGCTAAATAACCAAGGGGGTAACGTTCAATGTTACTAGAAATAAATAAATATGCCTGAATAGATAAAGAAACTGACTGTTCAGTAAACTTCAATATTATATTTTAAATGCTCTTTGCTCTTTGTTTTACTTACAACTGTATGCTGTAATACTATTTATTTATTTTATTGTTATATCATATGTTGTATCATAGATAAAACATACTCCCTTAGTAGATTTCTCATCCTTATAGAACAGCTGAAGACAATTTTATTGTTAGTTCTGTACGGTTTATGTAGAGGTCGTGTTTTGTTTACAATTTGTTTCCTGTTATTACAGCCATTTAAAACCTCGTTTAACCAAATAATACGATCTAATCATAAACAATAACTTGTCCCCTGGTTATATAACCAAACAGTAAAGCACAAATCAAGAAATTAACCCTTAGATAATAGAAACAAAGTTTCGTCGACACTAGCGCCCATGTGTCACGTACATGAACTAGACACGAAAAACGTGCTTCAAAATTTACAATGGGATGAGAAGTCTACTTGTGTTGGTTAGTCTATGGTTGTATCATTGCCTATTGTATACTGAAGTAGATGTCCTATCTTTTTGGACCAGCTGTAGCAATTTTTTTTTAAAAAAGAACTTAGTTGTTTGAGCTAGTCAAAGAATGTGCTAGTGACTAAAACTCTACAGTATTTTCTACCTTATTTTTTGTTGCTGGCCAAGTTGACGGGTCATAACAGTTGCTACAGCTCACAATAAGTAATTCCATTAGTTTGAATTGGTAAAACTGATTGTGTATTCAACAGAAATCAGTAATTTAGATCAGCACAATCTGTCGGTCACTCTCATCAACTACAACTATTTTGGAAAAAAGCTGGCTACAAATTTAATATGGGGATGGAATGTCTTGTATTTCAAATGTAAATAAATCATAGTGTCTTGTTCTCTTACTACCATTGAATGTGTGTTCATTTTCCTCTCTATCATATTCTTTAATCTGAATATTTCTCTTTCTCAACATTTACCCCTCTGGTCCTTTAAACTATTTATCATTACCTTTTCTCATTTTTATTCTCTTTTCCCACCACTCTCTAAATAATATTTTATTCCCATAGTAATATCATTCTCTACAAACAAATCACTGACTGTTTCAAAATGAGATTTCAAGTTGGTTAAAAGACTGAGCGCCCAACTCATATTAGTGTGGCAGAAAAGTCTAAAATGTTTGAACCAGTTTGGGCAGATTAGTTGATGCTCAACATATGCAAACCAGTTGGGAGTAAATGGCAAGGTTACAGGGTTTGTAAAAAACTCGGTTCTTCTGATTGGGTGTTAGGGGAAAGTTAAGCCTTTAAGGAATGATGGGATGCATTTCTAAGAGGGATCCAAAGAATAAATAAACTAAACCCTAACTTCAATTTTTCTACACCTAGTGAAAACAAAATTAAGGTAAATTGCTAATCACAGCTGGAGTACCTTATGGCCTACTATGGTCAGGTAATCCACTTGCAGATAACGCACATCAACTGGTAGTTTGCCCACTGCTTGTGCTGCGTCTACATGGAGCCACACTTTGTGTTTGCAACTGTCATTCACTCTCTTCAACAGCCTGCCAACAGAGCAATACAGTATAAAGCAGATTTTATAGGATGAACCAGAATTTGGGGATCAGGTTTTTCATGTCTTTTTAGGAGGAGATCTAGTCTTACTAAAAGGTAAATGATAAGTTCTTAGAACACAAGTTTACCAGTAACAAAGAGTATATCGCAAAAAGGTCTAAATAAAATTACATATTAAAAACAAAATACCTGGGAACCCAGTTTTGCTCGGGGAAACTCATTAGTATACTCTGAGAGCAATCTATGGTCAATGCCATTTATTAGAGGTGTGCGAGCGGCTCGATTTTTTGAGCCTGGCCTATAAGCTTGAGAGATCGAGCACAAAGTACAAAAATAGAGCTTGAGCCTATCAGGCTCGTAAAATGCGTCTGCAAAGTTTGCGCATTTGTAAAACTCACGCTTTTGTCACAATTGCGGAAGACTATAACGGCATTTCCATGACTGAGCGAGATGACCATAATGTCTACAAACCGCCGGAGATACTCAGGATTTTGCTGAGATTGCGGATGATTATGGTAACGTTTAGGTTACCGCAGGAGACGACAATGTTAATGTCAAATATATACACATAGATAAATATTATTTTAATCCTATACCGTTACTCTAATATGAGCAATGTTTGCTTGTATATTTGCTTCCACAAAGATCTCAAAAACGGCTTAGACTATTTTCTTGAAATGTTGTTAATAGTTTATTTCTGGCCTAAAAACATGTTTACTGCAGTTAGAACGACCAACAAAAATCTAATTAAATAGAAAAATGAAACTGAAAGTCAAAAATGTTTAACATTGGCCTTATGGGTTGCTAATTAATTAACCATTTTGGTTGAACAAAATAACAAGGACAAGGTAAACAAAAGACATGTAACATGTGTAGTATAATAAGCCATCCAAAGTATAATAGTAAATTACAAAATACAGTACAAAGGGAAAAACATCAGTTGTAACTATTGAGCAAAGATTACACTGAAGATTACTCGATACATTAGTGAAAGGCTAGCAGTGCGGAGTGTGGGAAGCGTCTGTGACAGTTGGATTAATGTATCTAAAATACTAAAATGCTATGGGAAGGGAGAGGAACAGGTCTAAAATTTAGGAAGTGATGAAGGAAGTAGTAAAGGCTAGCATTGCAGAGTGTGGAAACCGTCTGTGGCGTGTAAGATTAATGTATCTGCAATTCTAAAATGCTAAGGGAAGGGAGGGAAACAGGTCCACCACGTAGGAAGTAGTGAAAGTAGTAGTAGCTATTTGTGTACTTTTTATTGGTGTGGCAACACAATCATTACCATGCAATGGTAGGGAAAATAACAACATTTTATCCTACAAAATGAAATCAGTTTACCGAGTATTGGTTCGAAGCAAATAATAAATCAATTTGATCAATATACATTACTAGCTGTACCCGCGGGCTTTGCCCCATTTAACTTCATAAGTGAGCTCGTTCGCATGGCTCAATCACGTCCTGGTTGAAGTTCATTCGCTACGCTCACTCACTTTTAGGTTAGAGCTCGTTTGCTGCGCTCACTTGCCTTCAGGTTAGCTCGTTTGCTACGCTAACTCGCCTCCAGGTTGAAGTTCGTTCGCTACGCTCACTCACCTTTTGGTTGCAAATTAGCTGTTGTCATAAATGTAAAAGAAATAATAGTGCTGCACCCTGTTGGTAATCCTTGTAACTTTAATGCTATTGAACATCATAGAGAACAGAACCAACTTGTTTAATTGAAACAGCTGTTAAGATTCATTAATTCCATTTAAATATGAGTACTCATAAGGTTAACATGGGAAACTCCAGAGCCACTGGGGCGGAGCCCAGAGGTCGGAGGGTAAAATCCTTTCTTAGTGAGTGTCTACTACCCAAAAGTAAGATGCCTGCCAAGTTTCAGGTTCCTAGGTCTTATGGTTTCTGAGATTTTGTGATGAGTGAGTGAGTCAGTGGTATTTGAGCTTTATATATAGATTACTTTATTGAAAATGAATTAACATTGCACATAGGCCTAGGTTGTAAACTTAAAAGAATTTTTTTTACTATAGGTAAGATTTACTTACTTTTGCCTGAAGGTGTCAAATGTTAACATATGCTGTACATGTTTCGAGCTACTTACAGCTCATCTTCAGCAGCATTCTTGAATAAGAAAAATCACATCAAACGACGTTTGTTGACTATTTACAGTTTATATATACACACACAAACACACGGAAATATATACAAAGAACACACACGCGTTTGGCAGTGTAGGTACCGTAAACATGTTAGCGTAGGCACGGTTAAACAAAGATAACCACGACCGGGCGACATTTGTAGCAGGCCTACTGAGGAACTTGAACACGGGAGAGTGACGTCACGGTATTTTATCATGGTGTGTATATATAAACTGTAAATAGTCGACAAACATCGTTTGATGTGATTTTTTTAAATTCAAGAATGCTGCTGAAGATGAGCTGTAAGTAGCTCAAAACATGTACAGCATATGTTAACATTTGACACCTTCAGGCAAAAGTAAGTAAATCTTACCTATAGTAAAAAATATCAAAGGTATCAAGGCTGATATAAAATTAATTAAAACAATTGTTCTGAATGCTTTCCACTAACTTCAAGAAGAAAAAGGTGCATTTTATTCTTAAAACTAAACTACTAAACTTTACTCAACTAAATTTATATACACACTTATACACTAACACTTTTAACTGGACAAGAAACACCTCAGTCCTCAATATAATTTTGCGTCAACATATACAAAGTTTCACCACTTAGGGAATTATTTCCACCTAAAACCCTAATATGACTGGAATAATAGGATTTAAATAAAAGCTCTTCTAAACAGACCAACAGTCTATGATATCAAATTTAGAATTTTGGAGTATTATTTATTAAAAGGTCATTAGTAATAGTAATATCCTAATCATTCTCTTGGCATAAAGCCTACATACAACACAAATTCTTTCCACATAATTAAATCATAAGTGTTTTGAGAGTATTCAAATTTGACTTATTGAGCAAATACACTGTTTCACGTGGTATTACCTTGCTATTTCTCTAATGGGAAACACAACTCCAGTCTCGTTATTGGCCATCATGACAGAGACCAGAACAGTGTCTGGTTTGACAGCAGCCACTACATCTGCAGCTTCCAGACAGCCATCACTGTTGACAGCAACCTCTGTGTAGCCTACAAAGCAAACATTTCTCAACCAACTTCCAGAGACGCTTCAATTGGTTATTAGTATCACACACAGTTATGTGTACTCTGTTGTAAATAGTTCCTGTTCAAAGATCTGTGGATTCCCATTGTTGTCAGCCAGTATGTCCTGAATAGCCTTGTCTTTCTGAAGAGAATCTGAGCAGTTTTTACAGCTTGGACATTCTTTGCCATTTCAGTCTAACATTAGAAGCTACCAGCTATCAAGATTTAACACCCTACAGTCTTTAGAAGCTTGCAGACAAATGTCTCATGCAAGTTTGAGAGGGAAAATAGCATTCCCACACAGCCAATGCCATTGTTTCAAGTTTAAATGTATGTTTTTTGTGTGTTTTTTGTAAGAAAATCATTATATATGTATCAAACAAATCATTAAGGGCCTAATTGAGTATCCTAGTTAAATTCAGAGCAACAACTTAACCCTATTACTTTTACCATAGATAAAACATACTCTCTTAGTAGATTTCTCATCCTTATGGAACAGCCCTGAGGACAATTTTATTGTTAGTTCTGTACGGTTTATGTAGAGGTTGTGTTTTGTTTACAATTAGTTTCCGGTTATTACAGTAATTTAAAACCTCGTTTAGCCAAATAATACAATCTAATCAGGGCCGGACTTACCTATGGGCGGAGGGGGCGAACGCCCGGGGCCCCGACAGGGGCCCCCTTAAGCACCCCCTTGCACATTAGTTTTTATTAATAACCTCAAAAATTGATCAGACACTTACCAAATGGTATTTTGTAACAGCTTTATTTTTATTTTCGTTATCCTATATTTAAGGTTATTGTTAGGTGCATTTTAAAGCATTACTAGGAACAAAATTCTTGAACCTAAGGGACTTTTCCTCAGTGTTACACTGGGCCCCACGCTTAGGCCTGGTTTACACGAGCATACAGTATGTGCTAGGCTGTGACGGACAAGTTTCAGTTTCAATGAAGCCGCTCGCCCGAACGTACGGCCGTGGCGAATGAGTTGAAGGGGGCCCCACGCTTGGGGCAAAAATGCAATAAATATGAAAACTCTTGTCCCAAAATAGAACGTAACTTGTAAAATTGTGTTGTGTTTTAAATGGAGATTCACTGGAGTTCAAATATTTTTAAAAATAAAAACATTGCTCCGTATATGTTTTATTAAATGTTATTCTTTTCTTTTACCTCTTAGTATATACCAATCAGGATTTTAAGGGGTAGAAGTATATTATCCGTTCAATTTAAAGGTTTTGTAAAATAGTAATTAATTAAGTTATGCGTCGAAATTTTGATCTCCAATTTAGTCTTTGGAGTCAAAATCATACAGCGCCAGTAAGATTTTTAAAATCTATATAGGCACTTTAAAACAACTAGAGTCGTCTGATGTTAACAAAACATTACATTTATTGGGAGCGGGTGAGCGTTGTCGACTGAAATCGTAAACAAGCGATAAGCAGAAGCAGCTGAAAAAATAAATGATAATGAGCTGATAAGGGATCCTGTCTAGTCCTGTCTGTCTCACGCACGCGCATACACACACATAAAATGCCTTATCATCGCCTATCCAAAACAAAATCACTTTACTCCCATAGTTTGTCCTTTGAGACTAGTGGTCACGTCAAGTTGGTTGAAATTGTCTTACTTTTGTGTTATTTTATTGTAATTCTGCAAACTAACAGTACAAAAACAAAGCTGAAGTGAGTAATGTTGTATTCAATGCTATGTTGTATTAATCGATATTGGATCCATTTAAACATCTTTCAGTTACTCATATAAATAGTTAGCTTGTGAGTGTTTATTAGACATTGCAAGATTTTGCTCGTAAATAAAAAACTCAAACTTGAAAGTCCTCAATGGTACTTTTCATGCTAGGACTTTAACATATTATAAAAACGAGAATGCCATAGATACCAAAACCATTATGAAAATAAAATAATCACACCTATATTGTAGTAATATTGAAAAATCATACAAATAGACGGCAATAATCGATAATTTAAATACGTAATAAACAAAAATATATCAATACTTCTAATCCAAATATATTATGGTAGCCTACCATGCTACCATACCAAAATATGCCGTCACTGGTACTACAAAGCAATTGAAACATTTGGTCAGAGTTTGTTTAAATAGTGAATGCAAGAGATTAGGTTTCAAACATTTTTATTTTTTGTGTATAAAATTAAAAGATGCTGTATATAAAAATATGTTAAAATAGTTATATTTTAAGAACGATTTTTGATATAGAACTTATTGCTTATTTGGCCTTAAATTGCTCTATTTGAAGCCTAAATTTAGAAATTTTTCAGGTATTCCATACCCCCCAATCCCCCCAAACTGAAATCCTAGGGCCCCATTGGAAAATTTGCCCCGGGGCCCCTGAAGTCCTAAGTCCAGCCCTGAATCTAATCATAAACAATAACTTGTCCCCTAGTTATATAACCAAACAGTAAAGCACAAATCAAGAAATTAACCCTAAAATAATAGAAACAAAATTTTGTCAACACTAGCGCTTAGTGTCACCATACATGAACTAGACACGAAAAACGTGCTTCAAAATTTACAATGGGATGAGAAGTCTACTTGTGTTAGTTAGTCTATGCATTTACTTTGTATTTGTATAGCTAATTACTACTCAACATGTTTTCCATTTACGTCTGGAACTGAAGTAATCACTCACTTATAACCCCTTTGTCAGCTAGTCTCCTGACAGGCTCCACTGTGGCCACATGCTCTACATTGGACATGACAACATGAGGGGTTGTGATGAATTGTCTTCCCCACTCTACAGTACTGTGTATCGCCATGTTGTTACTCTACCAACAAACAACTGATGTCAATTTAAGAGGATCAGCAGATTTTAAATATTTAGACATATTTGAGATTTTTACACCAATGTAATGATGATGACTATAGGCCTACTGTAACTGCATTATGGTTTTTGTTTTACCGAAAAACAGGATTTAGCAAATTGACCTCTAGGGAAGTAGTTACTTACTACTGCAGCCTAAGACTGTAATACCTAGTTTCAGAACCACTTTTTGCTTTAGGGTCTCAAGAAGCCAAAATGGCTGTTTATTCCAACTTTTTTTAAATAAGTGTTAGTAGGCACGGCACTGTAGCACATGTCATGTAAAAACTTATCAAATTTGTATGCCATTTGAATTTAAATGTGAAAACCAACATACATTTGAATAATTTTTCCAACTAACAAGTGCTTGATCACCCCACAGGATTATATCCTTTAAAAAATTACTTCTTCCCCAATTAGTTCCATTGGAAAAATATGTAAATGATAATATCAGATGAAAAATGATTTAGTATCTAACACTATCATTTCACGCCTAAATGTATGAACACAGTCAATAGAGGTTCCAGTGTATTTATATTTCACACATTATCCTATTTGGTCCTCATACACATACCAAATAGCTATCTACCAAATAAATGTGTTTCTTATCATCAATGTCAGTTTTAAAAACTTTAACTCAAGTTTACCTCGGTTCCCCCGGAGGTAAATACAATGTCAGCTGCATCAGCTGCGTTGATAAGACGAGCAACAGCAGCTCTAGCACGATGAATGGTCTCTCTGGCACGATGTCCGGCAGCGGAGGCCGAGCTAGGATTGGCCCAGTCTCGCTGGAGGCTCTCCGTTATAGCTGACACTACCTCAGAGGCAACGGGAGTCGTGGAGTTGTAGTCCAGATATATTATACTTTCATCTTTCATTGCTGAGCTGAAACAATTCAAAATTCATAGACAACCAATTCGTAATTTTATTGAATCGTGGAACCTGCATTAATGCAGTAATACATCTCATTTATATCGACAAGCTGAAGCAAACTATTTACGTTGTGTCTCAATAATTCCATGGTTTGTAATGCGACGTACTTAGTACTCGGTAGTCAGACACGCGACCAGATACAACAGACATAATATCTGCTTAAACAACAAAATGTTTTTTTCCTACAGTCACCCGACAAAGTTGGCTTCCTTGTACTGTTTATAGTACAGAAAGCTGCTAATTGCTGCATACTTATACTTTGCCATACGGTTTATACTTTGTCGTACGGTTTATACTTTGCCGCACATCAGGATTCCAATGAAACAACACAAAACAGTGTGGTTCTATTATGCACGTAATCCGTGTACGCAGCTGATTGACTATTATAACTACGATTTAACCTGTCATTTCGTGTTTATAGTTTCGGTATTTCTGAACTTTCTGGACTTTTCTTATAAACGTTTTTAAAACATTCCTACGATCTTAATAAACAAGAAAATACCTTTAAAGCATTTTTTTTTGGCGCGGAAACCACTTCAAATTACAAAAACATACGGAACTATATTCTCAAAACGCGGAGCACATTTCTTGCCGAGGAAAAATAGCGGAGCTATACGGACCGCGGGTACTTTCTCTAGGGCACCATTTGTGTTGCCAGCTGAACCTAAAAACGTGTTGTATAGTGTTTGAAAGACTAATATGCTTTATATATGCTTTATATGCTTTATAGTGACTGTAGGAAAAATATAATGTGTAACACGAGTAAAAAAGGCCTTTGCTGCACAGCAAAGTGCCACTTTCACCACTAGTTACACAAATAACTATTGTATTATCTGCAATTTATTGTTTGATACAATTGGGTAAAATAAGGCAGAAGCTAGTCAGGTTTGTGCCATTTTACAACTAAAAATCGTAATATTTTAGCTATTTCTTATTTGATCTTTTTTGAACTTTTGATCGTTTGAAAGGGAATTAAAAATGCTAAATAAAAGTGTTTGTGACATTTTTTCATAAAATTAGCCGTTTTTGACAAATTTAAGTTTTTAAAAAATTAAAATGGCCGCCATTTTGAAATTTTAAGTTGAATTAAGATGATTTTTTTCCTAACATTGGTCTTTTCCACCTTAACCTACATACCAAGCTTTATAAAAATCAGTTGAAAAAAATCAAAAATAAAAAGGTTTATGTCAAATACAAAATGGCGGATATCTGGTTAACGAAGCGATTTTGGAAAAAATGTTATTCTTGATTTTCTTTTTATTTTGACCCATAGAACTATTTCCCGGAGGTTGGCTGTTTACTTACGGAACACCCTGTATAGTCTGTCTGTTAGCACGATGACTCGAGCAAAAATGATCCGATTTTTAGGAAATTTGGTATAGACGTACATTTATTTGAATAAGTTCCTGAACCAGCATGACCGGACTATGGAAACGGGGGTTTGTAGGGGTTTTTTTGGGTAAAAATTGATTTTTCCCATTTTTGACCCAAAAACATAAAATTTAGCAATTTCTTTCCAAACCATTTTTTTTAGCTAAAAAAACAAATAATTTTGTACATTGAAGCGTTATTATGCGCCGAATAGTTACGGAGAAAATTACTAAAATGTTTAATTTAAAATTCTTATGGAGAATAAGTAAACTGTTAAATATGATCATATTTTGCTCAAATTTGAAAGATGCATTTATTTCTTACTAAGCTATTAATATTTTACAATAAAAAAAAATACTTATTGGGTTTTACCCTTTCTGTTGCAGCAAACCTAAGAACTCGTTAAACTAATAATTATTCTATTTAAAAAGAAAATAAATGTGACATCATTAAGGAGACTTTTTAGTGTAAATCCAATCTGGCAAATTTAAATTAGCTTAGTCTGCAGGTTTGCTGCGGTGGGGGTATTTGGTCTTGCTCTTGTGTGGATGGCATTGAAACATAACAATGGTCAAAACAAGACTTGATGGGGGATTACTAACTATTTGTATCCTGATAGTTTCAATGTAACTAGGTAATGTCCCAATTTCGCATTATATCACGATGACAACAGGATGTTTGCAATTTTGTTCATAAATGGCTTCAATATAAGGGGGATATTTATATGAAAGGTAACGATGGAAAATTTATTTGAAATGAGAATCTGCACTCGATCATATTTATCCAGGTACCGTATGTACATTTTACCCATAAACTTAATTATAATATATAGAGATACATGCAATATAAATAACTAATTTAATATAGCAAAGATTTTGACTAAACAAATTTTAAAACTAAATTTAATTTTAGTTATGACTTAAGAGTGTTAAAAAATAAGAGATGAGAAGCATAGCTATTCATTCCCTTAATAGTAATGAGTAGAGTAATGCATATTCATTTCTCCTGAGTATACTCAAATTCAGGGAATGTGAGTAGGCTATTATTCAGTCAAGTATAGATTGTCATTATAAAATCATCATGTTTTAAGCTGAGTATTTACATAATGATCTTATAGATCAAAACAATGTTAACCATTTAACGTTTTAAGAATTTAAACCTTTAAAAGTATGCTAGTGTTCAGAATGATCCAAGATTCTATGATCAATGGTTGTAACTTTTTGTCTAGAGTATCTTTAAAAAACATATTATTTAAAATTATTTATAATTCTTTAAAATTAAACACAGGTAATAAGGTATAAATTAACCAATGGGGTGTTTACATAAATGAACCAAAGATAAATTTACAGGATGGCAGTTCTATTTGTATTCCTGCAACTTCTGATTTCCTCCATAGCAGCATCCATGGGTGATTACACACCTTGTGCTAAAATAGAGGCAATGCAGCAAGTAGCTTCCACGGTAACTCTGTTACTCTTATCAAATAATAAGTCCTAGCAATACACACTATTATAACTTAAGCAGTGTGAATTTTAAATATTCATATTCAAATATCTTTATTCATCATAACTCATGTGGTACAGTGAATAGTGTCTAAATACATAAAATAAAAATACTATTTCTATTTCTGGAAGGTGGAAAACTCATCAAAAGAATATAATGCTAAATTTATTATATGCACTTTTTTAAATTTTGATAGGTCCTTTTCCTTTTTTATGAATTTAGGAACAAATTGTAGAAAAACTTTAGGTAAGAGGGTTTTTTTTTTCAAAAAGATTTAATTTGAGGCTGGACAAACTCCCTTCTTCTCCTGAAATTTTAAGAATTTAATAAATTTATTACTTTCTCTAATTCATTTTTTTTATAAGAATTGTTTTATTATAAATATATTGCCCACAAACTTTAAAAATTTGTAATTTCTTAAGCATTCTTTTATAATTCTGATAGTCTCTATTCGCTGCTTCAGAATGCTCTCCTTATTTCATTTTTTTGATAACCCATATAATGCTAAACCAAATGAAAGATGAGTGTAAATGTGAGCAAAATTTATATCTAATATAATATAAATACCTCGTCACAGCTCTGAAGTTGCTGTAGATTACAGCTGTTTCGGCATCAAAATGCCATCCTCAGATATACATACATCCACCTGAATTGGCGTCGTTAAACTGTGTTGACGCCAATTCAGGTGGATGTATGTATATCTGAGGATGGCATTTTGATGCCGAAACAGCTGTAATGTACAGAAACTTCAGAGCTGTGACGAGGTATTTATATTATATTAGTCATCAATTCAGCTCAGTGGCTAAACCATGTCTATTGAAAATTTATATACTTTTTAGGGTTTTCAATTTACAATAAAAAGACATTTTTGATAATGCAAAAACTCCGGAGTTCATTTTGATTAAAACTTTCTGCGTCTGTTTATCCCAATTCAATAATATTCATCTATTGTTAAACCCAGAAAATTGATTTGATTATCCTTTTGAATGTTATTTGAGTTGTAAGTTATTATTATGATTGTAGATATAGTTTCCAATATTCTCTAATCCTACAAATGTAAAAATTGCTGTTTCTTCTGAAGAGTAAGATGATACAATTAAATTGGAATCATCAACATAAATAAATAATTTCAGAATTTTGCTTGTATGTTAAAGTATTTTCCATGTCCTTAAGATAACACAAATAAAGGAAAGATCCCAAAATTGAACCTTGTGTCACCCCAAATTTAATTGGTTGATAAGTTGATGATGATTTGATAATTAATTCTATTACAATTTGTCAAATGGGTAATTTCCACAAATTAAGAGCTATTTTTCAAATAGTAAGAAAACCAATTAAGAGCTCTTTTATAATATATTCCAATAATTATTAGTTTTTCTAGTAATTTACTATTTTTTACACTATCAAACGCTTCTACAAATATGCTTATTGTATAATTTCCTTTGGCGACTGATTCAATAAAAAAAAAAAAAATACCCCCGCCGCAGCAAACCTGCCGACTAAGCGAATTTCCATTTGTCTGAATTGATTTTCAGTTAAATATATTTTAATAACATTAGGTTTAACGAGTACCTAGGTTTGCTGCTACAACGAAACTAATAAAGTGTGTTTTTGAGTAAAATATTGATAGCTTAGTACAAAATAAATAAATTTGCCAAGTTTGATCAAAATATATTCATAAACAAGCAAACTACAACATTTGACAATATTCTCCATAAAAATAACATGGGAATTTTAAATTTACAATTTTTTTAATTTTCTCCGTTACTAATAATCGAACAAAAATACTTTTATATACTAAATTATTTGTTTTTTTTAAGCTCTTTAAAAAGGTCTAAAGAGAAATTGGGAAATTTTGTGTTTTGAGGGTCAAAAGTGAGAAAAACCAATTTTTACCCCATAAAACCCCCCATAAAGCCCCGTTCCCATGGTCCGATCGTGCTGGTTTGCGAACTCATTCAAGTTTATCCCGCTTTACACCTTTAAACCAAATTTCATCAAAATCGGACAAAAATTACTCAAGTTATCGCGTTCACGGACGTATATATATATAAGTCTATATATATATATATATATACATATATAAAAATTTGAACGAATAGTGTTTTTGGCCTCTGGGGACATCAAAATGAAAAAGTAAATCGGTCCCGGGTCTAGGTCTTACCGTGCTACCTACGGTAATAGCTACTTCCCTATAGGGAAATTCGCTAAAAACAAAAAAAAAACAATTGTGCTTACAACTGATCTTCCATTCCGGAATCCATGCTGATTTTTATCCAAAATATTACATTTTTCCAAAAACTCTGATAGTTGTAAGTAGACGACTTTTTTGTAAACTTTAGAAATAGAAGAAAGAACAGATACTGGGTGATGTTTGGAAATATTTTCTGTGTCATTTTTTGTGTAAAGGAATTATTTTTGCCTGCTTTAATATGTTAGTAAAAATGCCTGATACAAGCAGAGAATTGATTATATGACATACAAATTTGCTTATGTACGTTTTTGCAGCCTTTATTATTGTTACAGGAATTTCATAATGCCCAATAGTGTTTATTTTTTAAAGATTGAATGATTTTTTCCACCTCTCTTTCAGTGATCGGTTTCAGCTCAAATTTTGGCTTTACAAACAAGTAATCGATAAAATCAGCTTTCACATTAGTCGTCTCATTTTGATTGTTACAATTTAAATTTAAATCTGTATATTTTTTTATTATTTCTTGTCATTTTACCCAACTATACTAACGTTAGTTATTAAACATGTCACTTGTTATTTTGTTATTATTTTGCATAATAACCTAAATTTCTTAGATGACGGGTTATAAATACTTTAACACGTTCACTGCTAAAGGAAATTATAAAATCGAATCGTATTGCTAAAAAACTTAATTGTTGTATAACATTCCTTTTTGTGTCCTTATTGAAATACAATATTATTTAATACAATCGGAAGTGAATATGACGACAACAAGTGACGTCATACTTATAAGAAGGGAAGGTTATGGGTAATATGGTCATCAGGAGCCAGAGTCAGAAAAAAAAATGGAAATGCCACTGAATACATTATATATGTCACTAAAAATATATGTTCTTAAGATATATGTAGTAATTATCATAAAAATAATCAACATAAAATAGTTCCTATATCAATTGATTGGAATTGATTATGACTTCATAATGTGATGTCATATACATGGGTCAGTGCTGACCCATCAAGAACCAGAGTAAAAAAAATTGAAATATTTAACAAAGATGAAAGATACAGTATAAAAGATTTGAAATATTAATATTATTGAAATAAAATAGTTTAAAAGGTAATTGAAATATAATATGAAGTCATGAAGCACACAAAAGTAGCACAGCAAGGGGCGTTCACAGTAACGTGGGTCAGTACCAACCTAGCCGCCTCTATGGTAGCGAGACGCGGGAACCAACTCAATGGTGAACAAAGCAAGTCACACACTACACGCTAACATGCTATAGGTCCACCTTCGGCCGACGCAAGGCTCGTACTGGAGCAACAGATTGATGCACTGCAGTGTGGGTTAGTACTGACCCACCCGCAGCGAATGTGTTAAAACAGATAAAATACTTCATCACTGCATCCAAAATGTAATTAACACATTATTCTAAATATAACCAACACAAAATTTCCATTATTTTTTTTAACTAGAGTCGTGTTACTTAAATATTTTTACGTACGACCGTTTTTTAAAGTACGGTAGTTGTTTCAGTTCAGTTCTTAGAATTGAAAGGTTTCTCATTACAGCATTGTTTACTTTCATAACAGCATAGTTTTACTCATAACAACATGGGTAACAGACCAATGAGGTTCAAGGATTGAGAGAGAAGAAGTAAAATTGTAATGATTCGAACTTCAACTAATCAGCTGTTCAAACCAATTTAATTGTTGATTGGTGCAATTCTTGTTTGGTACGATGTTTCGCATCACTGTCAGTGACAATGAGAGGTTATAAACGAAAACATAACCTCTCTTAGAAGTTATGAGTAGTGATTTTTTGTAATTAAAACACTGTTGTAGGTAAAGTAGTGTACGAAACTCTCATAAATAGTGTTAACGACGCTCGCAGAAGTTTTTGAGGCACTCGCCAAGGCTCATACCTTAAATTTATTACTCATGTCGTAAACACTATCTTTACCCAATTGTTGCGTAAACTACTATAGTAATTACAATTAATGTTTTAATTAGTTTACATAGTGGCAGATTTACAATAATGGAGTAGGTCTGTGGAAGGGTAATTGAGTTTTATGTGTTCTGTAAGATGTGATTTTTGTGTTATTCATTAAAAATAAATTGAAATTTTAAAGATATTAGAAGATTTAAAATAATTTGTAATTTGTTCTTGAAATGTACCATGCAACATAAAATGTTATTGCACAGTAGGCAATAACAGATTTTTTTAAATTTACAGATATACATTTTCATGCTAAAAATATCTTGTAATAAAGAAATTACATTTAATTTTTAAAATAACTTACTTCTTCAGGTTTTCAAACCATCTATTTAAAGCTAAACCACCAAAGACTATTCTTTTAAAATAAAATGTTCTAATAAAATACAATAATGGTAATTGTGCAACAGAATTTAATCAGAGAAAATGTGTTAAAACTTGCAACAATTGTCTGAATGCTAGAGAATTAAAAGATTAGAATTCTTAAACTCACACAAGAACTATTTACCAGTTTTTTTCTTACTGCTCCTTTTTATTCTCTTTTTCAAGATGTTAGCAAAAACTTTCATTCGCTGAATCCTAGCAATGATCACTTGTATTTTAAGTTCATCAATGCTGGGAAACCAATTATTTTTCTGTTGATCTTGAAAATATTTCGGAACATGTAAATCACCCGAGATGTGAAGCTCTTTGAGAGGCAAACTGTCCCAGAAGATTCTCTCACTTATCTCTGATCTGGACATTGATTTTGGTATCTTGTCGTCGATAAGCAAATAGTCGATATTGCCAATATAAGTTATGCCACTAGATACTGGGGGCCATTGAACACCAGTGCCTGTATCAGGTATTCCACTTTTTATAAAACTAATCCACGTCTTCACCATTATGTTGTGTACATCCAAGTCTTTGTGAGGATCAAACCTCCCCATCTTCAAAAGATAAATCAAATCGTCAATGTGACATACGCCTACATTTGACTTTGACCTTCTTAAATATTTGGAAAAACTTTGTTTACCTTTGTAACCAAATATGTACATATAGACAGGAGCTCTCGAGGCGGCGGCGTGCAGCCTTACAGAATGCTCTATTGAGTTCATATACAAACGGTCACTGATGATTCTAATAATTTCATTAAGCGTTTCAGAAGAAATCTTCTTATCCCCCAGGTAGTGTTTTCTAACCTTGTCACTTATATCTGGTAGATCACTTTCATCAGCATATTCCTTGAGTTGAAGTAAATAGGGAGATATTAGGCTCCAGTTTTGATCCAATTCTTGCATTTTACTGTCATGGTCAATAAAATCATCAGCATGAAAGAGTCCCTCGGCTGTAGTAGCACTGACCAGCCACGGAGCGCTCTTTATTTTACCTTTCCTCAGAAGATGGAAAGGATTTTCATCTAAAAAGGGTTTAGGACTTCCTTTCTCAACGACTGGTCCAAAGTATTCGTATGTGTTGAAATCTCCCCATGGACGATTTTGAGATACAAGTTTTCCATTGAGTTCATAGGCAGGAATTTTAGTTAGGCAGTCAACTATTTTTTGAGTGCTCTTCTCCTTTTCACAATCGGGAAACAGACTGGCCAAGTTTTCAAAGCCTTCACTGGCTTTCCAGGTCTTTGTAAGTTTGCTCAGGGCCACTCCACTCATTGAGATTCCTTTTGAGAACAAATGTCTCGACAACGGAGCCATATAGTGAAGATGCACACCCACTCCTCCTGCTGACATTCCCGCCAGCACAATATTGTTACGGTTTCCTCCGAAGCTTTTAATGTTTCTATTTATCCATTCCAAAGCAACAACTTGGTCTTTCAACCCCATATTTCCTGGAACCACTTCATCACCTGTGCTCAAAAAGCCAAAAGGCCCCAAACGATAATTTATGGAGACAAAAACAAGTTTCTTTTCATGGTTGTAAATGTACTCAGGCGTCTGTGGATGTCCCGATCCATATTGAAATGCACCTCCATGGATAAAAACAAGAACATCATAACCGGCACTACTATCTAATGTAGTTGTATAAATGTTTAAAGTCAAGCAATCTTCCTGGCCTATAACTTTGTTTGCAGATTTTAAAAACTGAACACATCTTGTTTTCTTATTTTGTGTAGCTTCAAAAAGATTTCCAGAGTAAGATTTTGTTAGAGGCACTGGATCTTTAAATCTCAGATCACCCACGGGCTGTTTAGCATAAGGAATACCTGAAAACACATACAACAGAGTTCCTCTGATGGTGATCTCTTCTCCTCTGATGTTTCCAAGTTCAGTTGAAACAGTTTGTCCGGAAACAAAAGCAATATCCAACACAAATAATGTTAAAACACTGTTCGTTAAAAACATTTGTAGAGTCTTCAAAGTATATACTAGTAAAAACTATTAAGGACCAAATGCGAGTAAGAAACCATTACACTATTTTAAAAAGCTAGTTACTTAACTCTTGAATCAAACTGATTTAAAGGTACGGGTAGATATTAACAATATCTATATATATAGATATGGGTTATAGATATGGGGTTATATTGGTAGGTAACAATATGGGACCTCTGCTAAGCTTAGGCAACAAATGCCTAATCAAATAACAGTTGTTCAAATCAATTACTTTGTGCCATGTGTTGGCCTACAGTAAGCCTTTTATTCATTTTGCTTAACAATACAACCATATTCTCAGCTACTGTGCATCGCAGGGAAAATCTACGCATACTGTTAGAAATATGTTTGCCTGTAGATTATCAATCAATTATCGTGCAGAATCCCTTTATAAAATCAAATAGGCTCAAAAATAAGCACATAAAATTAATTAATTATTTTTTTTAATTAACATGAGCTTTATGGGTTACCATGTTGTTGACGAAATAACAACAAAATATAAAAAGAAAATGAAAACAAATGGAAGAAATTCCAATCACATGTTTTATTTACAGTGTGGGGTGAAAATAAGTTTACACAATACATACTTTTGGTCGACCTCTAGTCTTACGTATATTAAAAAAACTTTGCAAAGTGTATGACAACTTGTAACAGGTTCTCTCACTTTTTATTGTGACGTAATGTATAATCTTGACTAATTTCTTTGTATTACAATTAATTTTTATTTTTACTTTTTTAGAATGAATCTAAACCTATGTAGGCTAGTTTGATTGTCTGATCTCAGGGGTGTTTGGGTTCGTGTGAGCTGAATAGGTAATTAAATGAACCTGTTTATATAAATATAATATACACATTTAATTAACCCCTTTCAATAAAAAACAATAAGCTATTTGACATTCGATAAAGTTACTTAAGTGACACTGTTACATTAATTAAATTAACTGCTGATTCAACATTATACTTCTGACAATAATAACAACAAATTCTCACAGGATGTTTTGATAGCCTATTTAAAAAGGAAAGATACAACCACGGATTAAAATTTACTAAGTTACATTTACTTAAATAGTACTCATCTTAAGTCTCAGCAGTGAGTGTGGGTGACGATCCATCCACCACTAGGCACCATCATGGCGTAGGGAGTCGAGATGTCCTCCTGAGAAGTGAGGTGCAGCAACTTCCTTCCCTTGTAGACATCGCCTAAATCGCACCGTAACTAGATGGATACTTCTTGATGTATGCTCACGGGGACGTAATATAAGTAGGTTAAAGACATTGTGATTGACGATTCATCTGACAGTCCTCATTGAACAAAACTTCCCTCACCGAATAATGGCGATGTCACCTATCTGGTGGCTAGCTGACGAACGAATACCGAATAACCTCCCTCGCTACTCGATTTTAGTTCTACTCCCCCCGTTAGGAGCGCTGCCCGACGGAAACGGAAACCAACCCGAAGGCTCTCGAAGCTTCTACATCGTTATAGATCTTTCTGGAACAGGACACGGAAGTTACCCAGAGTGCTCTGAAACCTTCTAGAATGTTCTCGGACAATCTGGAAGGTCGTTCAACCCCCCCTCTTTGTATTTGAACTTGTTGGCAGTTTCTTCCGAATTTGAATTTGAATTAACATTATTCTTCTTCCCCTTTAATTAATTAATTAATTTTTTTTTTATATGCATCAACCCATTACAAACTAGCCTGACCATAGTGACTACTGGACCGAATTACACGCGGTTGGTACCAAATGAAAGATATTTTCCTGTAGATTTTAGAGAAGTTTGCACAATACATACTTTTGGTGGAGATTTTTACTACGGGGCAAGCTCTAGATAATTACTAAAAATGTTTAGTATTTATTGAAGTTTTAAAATGGACTTAGTCTGAAACATGTAACTTGAAGAAAAAATATATTAATGACACGGAGATCAGTTGTTTTTAATATACTACCTAAACCATATTCAGTAAGTTAACCAAATTTTTAGAAAGAAATTTAAATAATTACAGTCACTTACATTATATATAGCATATGGCAACCAAATGCAATGATTGAGTCAGTATTAAACAATCACGAACCAACAGGCCTTGCAGATACAACTTTTAAGATGACATGGCAAAGAAGTTTTAACCGACTAAACATTGTTGTCGTGGTCTCAAAGCTATTGATTTGAATAAAATTAGTTGCTTTTAATTATTAGTTGGCTAATAACAATCTATATTTATAAAAGAGGAAGTTTGTATGTATATATACAGGGTGAATAAAAAGTCAAGACCTCCCCTCTAATATTTTTTCAAGTAAATATACCGAGATATCCTTTTGGTGGTCTTGCAATCTTAGCAGGAAGTTTCATTTTATGATTTTGAAATTTTTGAGTGTCCCCCCAAAAGGAGGGATTTAGGGGGCAACTTAAATATTTTAAATGTAAACCCCCTTCAAGTGACACCTCATTTTGAAGTGTTTACAAAAACTTAAAGAATAGTGAAAACTAGAGGTCGCTATCTCTTCTCTATCCAAAATGGTAGCCCGTCAAATGTTGTGGAAAATCAATGGTAAAATTGGTTGGTAATGGTAATATTGGCAACAATTTTGGATAGAGAAGAGATAACGAACTATGGTTTTCTCCATTCTTTAAGTTTTTGTAAACACTTCAAAATGAGGTGTCACTTGAAGGGGGTAACATTTAAAATATTTGAGTTGCCCCCTAAATCCCCCCTTTTGGGGGGAACTTGTTAATACATAATTTTAAGTATTAACTTAAAATATTACAGGGTGTCTACTACATTCTGGATAAAAAATTCATGGACAATTCCCGTACATTTAAGGACACTTTGCCGTAACCTTTGTCGGTGTCATTAGGCCTACCGGTACCGAATAATTTTCCCGATTTGTCAAACTGTATTAATCTTGTTATTCACTGTAGTTGTACCAGAAAGAAAAGTAAATAATAATAGATAAGAGTTAAAAATTACAAAATAGAAATTTATTGAAAGTAAACAAACATAGGCCTACCTATACTTTAGGTAAAGCCTTGAAAGCAACCAGATCTATTCAGTTGGGTGCGAATATTGAAGGACAAATCAATGTACTGGCTTTTGCTGATGATGTAGCCTTATTGGCTGAAAAGAAAAATGACCTAAAAGTATTAGCTGAAGCCTTCATAACAGAAGCAGGAAAGGTAGGGTTACAAGTGAATGAAGATAAAACAAAATTTATAAAGATAGGAAGGCAGGCAGAACATGTGACCTCAACACTGGAATGTTTGAGTTATAAATTTTCTGTCACAGAAGAATTTAAATATTTGGGTGTGATAATAAACAGCCAGAATAAGATGGATCAGGAAATACAAGCTAGATTGAATGGAGCTGATAGATGCTATTGGAGCTTATCAAAACTTTTGAAAAGCAGACTCCTGTCAAGAAACACCAAGGTTCGAATATATCTGGCAATAATCCAACCTGTTCTTCTCTATGGTTCGGAAGTATGGACCCTCACAAAGAACATAGAGAGAAAATTAATAACTTTTGAGAATAAAATACTGAGGAGAATATACGGACCAACTTTGGAAGATGGGGCGTGGAGGATTAGAAAGAATAAAGAGTTAAGGGACCTTTATAAAAGACCTGATATTGTAGCTTTAATTAGAAGTAGGAGAGTCAGATGGCTTGGGCATGTTAGAAAAAGAGAAGAAGGCAGCAGTATAAGAAGAGTGTGGAGGGGAAAGCCTGAAGGAAGACGCCCACTGGGGAGACCGAGATTTAGATGGGATGACCAGGTTGCTGAAGACATCGGAAGACTGGGCGCAGAGTTGGACGAGGCAGAATATAGAGAAAGATGGAGGCATCTTGTTGGCGAGGCCAAAAATCTCCTTGGATTTGTGTGGCCACAGGAGTAAGTAAGAGTAAGTAAGTAAAGCTTTTATAGTGTAACAGAGAAACACAATCATTGTCTCCTGCGATAGCGACAAATATCTCCATCCCACATAAACTTCATAACATAGCTTATCCGATCCAGGCGGATTAATTTGGCATGATTCGCCCTGGCACAACATTAGGTTCTCGACTACTTTTGAAAAAAAATCTTTAATGCAAAATCTTTAATTGTTACTCAATTCTTAGTACAAAATCAAGGTATGGTAAGTGGCTATTAATAAGCAATAAGCACAGAGTAAGATTATTGTATTTTCATTTGTAAAGTTAATATCGACACATAGCAATCATTAGTTGTTTATCTTATAGGCTCAATTACATTTCCTTAATATATTTTACAGCTCTTTCAAGAATCAAAATACCCAGGCCTAAACCTAATTATTTAGGAGGGCCTATATAAACTGAGTAACAAACAATGAGGTTATAATAGCAGCAAAGTTACTATCATCATTCTAGTTCACATAGGATTTTGATTGCTTAAAGCATACAACTCAATAAATAAATATATGGGAAACAAAAAACATTGAAACCTGAATAGCCAACAATATAAGACAAAGATACAGAAAATGCAATGACATAATTTGAAACCAAGCAGGCCTACATAGTGATAAAACATTAATGCAAACAACAATGCTTGTGGTTTTGTCAATTGAAAGATAAAATGTCCATAAAAAGGGGTTAACTTACAAAATAAGACTGTAGATTATTTACATGTTTAATATGAAACCATAAACAGTTTTATGGCACTAGGCACTGGCCGTGGCAAACTGAATCTTCAAGCCGAAAGTGGCGAAAGTACAAGTAAGAAGTGAAATTTAACAGCCATTATAAAGCTATTATTTTCACGATAAAATAGGTTTGGGATCTAATAATAATTACCCTAGTAATAAAAAAAGAAGTTGTAAAGGAATAAAAGTGATACAACTTTTATGAGCTAGCTGCTGAGTCAACAGTTCTTGGAAGTACTTGACTTGACACTTGATTGTCATGATAAAATATTAATGGGTTTGAGATTGTTAATGGGATTTTTATTGCATAATTACTCTAGTAATAAATTATGAAAATGTAAACAAACATCTGATAAACCTTTTATGTGCTCCTAACCAACTAGCGATCAATAAAATTATGGCCCATTAAAAATTTAAGGACATTGTCTGGCATTTAAGGACACTTCCCGTACATTTCATGGCCAGTAAAAATTTAAGTACAATTCCCGGATTTCCCGGTTGGTAGACACTCAAGTTAATACTTTTAGT